ATGTAGTGTCTCTACTTTAAAGAGTCCTCTCCTGCTGATGTTCAGGTGTATATCAGAATGTAGTGTCTCTACTTTAAAGAGTCCTCTCCTGCTGATGTTCAGGTGTATATCAGTATGTAGTGTCTCTACTTTAAAGAGTCCTCTCCTGCTGATGTTCAGGTGTATATCAGTATGTAGTGTCTCTACTTTAAAGAGTCCTCTCCTGCTGATGTTCAGGTGTATATCAGTATGTAGTGTCTCTACTTTAAAGAGTCCTCTCCTGCTGATGTTCAGGTGTATATCAGTATGTAGTGTCTCTACTTTAAAGAGTCCTCTCCTGCTGATGTTCAGGTGTATATCAGTATGTAGTGTCTCTACTTTAAAGGTCCTCTCCTGCTGATGTTCAGGTGCATATCAGTATGTAGTGTCTCTACTTTAAAGAGTCCTCTCCTGCTGATGTTCAGGTGTATATCAGTATGTAGTGTCTCTACTGTCTCCATGCTTTAATGTTCAAAAAGCTCTTTATTTCTCTCATACTGCCTGTGCTTCAGCACCTCTTTTCACCCTCTGTCTGAAACGAGAGCCCAGTCTGCTCTGATTGGTTAGCTGACTGGCTCTGTTGTTATTGGTCAACCTCTTAGAGATGTCCCGCCCCTTAGCCTATCACGCACAATGTGTTGAAGCACGGGTGTTACATAGTGATGTTGCTATGTTCCGGAAATGTTGGGATTTTGGCCTTAGTAGACCATTTACATGCACAAACACACGACAGGAAAGGGTTTTTTCTTTATAAATACCACTGTTGGAGTGATTTCAACAGTAGGTCTGTGTGTACTTACGCAGTAGCATAGTTGCACACAAAGATAGCCCCCTCACGAGAAGCAAAGCTTGTGCTTTTGACTCCGTTCGGGCACAGCTGCACGGCACAGCCAACCTTGTAGCTGCTCGCCCACACAACCTGAAGGACATCCGACCACAGGGTTACAATGTGTGACTAAATATAAAAACATCACGATCAGTTCCTGTTTGCTTGTTGCCTCATGAGATCTCTTGAAAAACATTTCCCCAAAAGGAACGATCTTTGTTTCGACAGAAGTGTGCACATCACAATACTTCATTAGTCCTAAAGAGGGGACATGTATTTGTTAGAGAGGCATGCATACAATATGGGAGAAGGTGAAGTAACAGTATTATTAAAATAAGTGTAGCATGTAGAAATAGTGTGGGAGCAGCCGGACAGTGAAAATAAAAGTATATATTGCACAGTTTTTAAAGATTGTGTTACAGTATTTGAATAGTCTAAATAAGAGATAGCAGCCAGTAGAGGTGGGAGAAGTACTCAGATCTTGTACTTGAGTAAAAGTAGAAGTACCAGAGTGTAGGAATACTGTGTTATAAATAAAAGTAATGTGTTCAAAATGTTACTTAAGTAAATACAAAAGTATTCACATCAAAATATACTTAAAGTACCAAAAGTAAAGTCATTGCGCAGATTGGTCCATTTTAAGCACCAGTTATCTTTTAATTATTTGATTGATTTTATACAAATTATTTGTGCATTCATTTGTTCTTCCCTTAAATGTTGCACTTAATAAAGGTGGGGTTTATTTGAATTACTTTACACACTACTGGGTAGCCTATAATAATATATAATAATGTGTGTGGATTTATATTTTCTATTATTACATCTGCAAAGTAACTAGTACCTAAATATGTAATATAAAGTAACAAAGTACCTACATGTTGTATTTAAGTACAGTACATTATACCACTGTATAATATATATATTGAATATACCTGTGTGTAGTGGCCACAGACGCCTGAGCAGCTGTTTTCGTCGAAGTTGTATTGGTGTACTTCATCCACCCAACTTTTGATTGCACTCCTCACGTTGAAATCTGACGCTGGGAATCCAGCCCAGAGGTTTTCTCCAACAGAGGAGAAGGTAGCATGCATACGGCGGACATCTTTGAGGTCTACGTTGTGTTCAAACAAACAGTTCCTCGCCCACGCTGCTGCAGTGATGGCAAGACCCTCGTCCCACGTCTGATACACAGAGAATATAAAGCAGCTTCCTCTCAATCAGACTCTTATTTAGCTCCATAAAGCTTAGGATAAATAATTAAATAATACAATATCATCTTCTCACTAACTCTCAATTTTTCCAGGATTTAAAAACGGCCCCAAAAGAAGCAGAGGTTGGAAGTAACTAAGTAGATTTACTCAAGTACTGTATTTAATTACAATTTGGAGGTACTTGTCTTCACTCAAGTATCTCCATGCAGTGTTGTAGTCAAGTCACCAATTCACGAGTCCAAGTCACTCTCGAGTCACCACTCTTCGAGTCCGAGTCACCAAGGGAGAGTCGAAGTCGAGTCAGAGTCCAAGTCCGAATCACCCAAGGAGTGTCCGAGTCGAGTCCGAGTCCAGTCATCATTACCTTCCGAATCACCCAAGGAGTGTCCGAGTCGAGTCCGAGTCATCATTACCTATGTCCAAGTCCGAGTCACCTAAGAAGAGTCCAAGTCAAGTCTGAGTTACAAGTCTTTATATATTAATCTTCGTGGATATATGTGTTGAAATGTAGCTGCTCCTCTACATTGCTTTTATCCTTTCATGTTATACTAATCTGTCTATTGAACTGCTGTGAAGCGAGTTTGGCTACAATTCTTGTAATAGGTGCTATAAACTTATTCTATATTAAATTATTATTTAAATGACCTTTAATATGTCTAACTAGTGTCTCTACTTTAAAGAGTCCTCTCCTGCTGATGTTCAGGTGTAC